GGGGGCAGAAAGTGGAAATGAAAAGCAGATGACAGAACGCCATGACTATAGAGAGCAGGAAATTACTGTCCCCATGGTTTTATATTTAGCAAAATTTGATCATTTTTTGTATAATATCTGATTATCGTCCTTTATCATTCTTTGTTAAAATTAACAGGATCGCATAATTTCATATTTTTGGGCTCAGTTTGCTTAATTTCAGAATATATTTTTCTTGCATAAAACGACGGGGACAGAGGAGGTGAAAGGAGAAAATTTTAGGGAAGAAAATTATTTTATAAATTGACTCGACATTATAAAGAGCCTTGGACATCTACCTCTCACTAGTAAAAATTGAAGGCAAACGAGGTAGGGTTGACCAAGAGAAGCGTACTTTATTTGTTTTAATTTGGAAAGCCTGCACAAATGCGTGACGTGGAAAGATCAGGCAGGAAAAGTTTGTTTTTTTCAAGAGCATATTATCCGAGCAAATTTTTTATATTTTAAAGAGGAACAAGGGGGGAGCGGGGAAATTCCGTAAAGACAGGTTTCCGTTTTACACAGGTTTCCGTTAAGGCAGGTTCGACTGTAGATATCTACTTCTGTTGCTTCTATTTTTCTTTCACTGTGTTTGGTAATTATTGTCCAGCATTCACAACGCTAGAAGGGTTGAATAGACATGATAATAACCTAGCCATACAACTTGATAATAGGCTAGGCCTATCATTGCTGTAAACTTTTGGAACCTTTATTTTGGTAGCCTTGTCATTGAGATTCTTCTATTTAGATTTTAGATCTAATTTTTCAAAAGTCTAGGCCTACAGTCGTTTGAAAATCCTGGCAATGAATGAACGAAACTCAAAAAGAAGCACGCAAGAAAGCGTAGCCCCTAGTCTAAAGACTTACTTATACTACTAGGCTAGACTGACTAGACTAGATTCTAGCTGCGCCTTGGCCTAGCAATGAATGAATGGTTTTAGTTTTGTGTGCTCAACAGGTGGAAAAGTGGATGCTTCTCTAGATTCTAAAGTCTAGATCAAGTTTCTAACCGAGAACGAGCTGAAAATCAGGTCTGATATTTCTGCAATAATCCATTGCGGGCTCCATTGCAAAGACGGACACTGTTATGATTTTAAAAGTGAGCAGACAATTCGCTCTTAGATTAGGATGAGGTTTTAGGGCAATTTAGGCCTAGCCTCTAGTTTCAGTTTCAGCTTACAGAACCGGTTCTGAACACCACAATTACGACGCTTGAAGGGTTGTGGACAGAAAATACCTTTGCTTGTAGAGTGTTGGTGCTGTACAGACAGTCCGATTTGTACTGAATTGACCCTTTATGGCCCAATTGTATGTAAAGATTATTATAAGATAAATTGTAGGCCTCACTATAGAATCTATGGGAGGACTTTCGTATGCGCGAGAACTTGTTACTTTCCCTCGGTCTAGTTTTTTTAAATATTAATTTTTGATTGTTTTTAATTGAGGCTGCCCCTGTGGAGTAAAAAAAAATCTGTGGGGTTACAGCATGCCCCCCTGTTGTAACCCATATAGATCTATATTGGGTCTCATTTAATATTTTACAGAACTAAGCTTTTAGATTTTCTTTTTAAAATAATTGATTTGCCACTGTTTTAGTGGCTTTATGTCATGTGTAATCTGCTGCAAACAATAGCCTACTGCAGTTTGACCCCGAAGCAGAGCATCTGTGTGCAGGAGTGAAAAAAGTGTACCGATCTGTGTGGTCTGTTAATTTAGACGTGCCAATCTATCGTCCAGTTTTCTTTTGATCAGGGAAATTCCTAATCATTGACTTTGACTTGACTGCGGATGTACAACGCACCTGGTGACCTTGACACTGAACGGCACCGTTTACGATCAACTGAATAATAAAATTGCTAAAATATGTATAAATAATAACGGCATCAAATCTGGTTCTCCGAGAGCAACTACTTTGCTTAGGGGCTGTTCAAATATAATCTTACACCTTTTTTGGGACTTTTTGCTCCCCCCCCCCCCCCTTCTATTTGCCCCCCCCCCCCCCCGTAATATTACATTGTTCGCTTATTATGATAAAAACAATATGACATTTATATCGCGGAAATCTGTAAAACAATCATTGCTCTATGCGCATTGCACAATATTCATGAAAAACATGCATACACACATACATGCCCATAATAATATATGCACTAAAAAAATAATAGGTGTCACATACTCTGGCCATTGAAAATTGAAGATGACAGCTATAAAAATTACAAAGTACAGTAGTCTCCGCCTAAGATCCCACCGCTTACGATCCCGGTTCGCTTAAGATCCCGCTGTTTTAAGAAAACAGAATTTTTACTATACAAAAGTCACCTCTAAGATCCCGCTCTGATTCACTCTGAAGGTCTACATTCGGCTAAGATCCCGCATTTCAGATCATAATTTGCGGAAAAAACCGCGGGCGGGACAGCCGATCAACCAAGAGTGAAAATTTGAGATGATCAATAAACTGTCCGTCGCATCAAAGATCAGCTACTATCGTGAATGTGATCACATACACGTTGTAAAACTCGATGAAGCAATACAATGTTTGCCCCAGACGGGATCACACCGGGGTGTGAACTGACCGACACATTTGTTTTCCCCGAACATCTCACTCACACCTGAGCTATCCCCCTAAACTTACATCACTCGCGGGGTGGGTAGGGCCTACACGTTCGCTCCTGGCGGGATCACATTGAACCGTGACCTCTTCCCTGACCATTGGAGAAGTTGTTTCTACTCCCGAATTTGCGAGACAGACTGGATTTTAATTGGTGTGTTCACAACGTAATAGTGTGTAACGAAAAAGGCGGTTGGGGGGGATGGAAAGCTATACATTTTCGACAGGTAAGGGAGAGGGGAGGGGCAACTTGATAAGCGTAGATCTTGAGCCTCATGATAGGATAATAAGTGAAAATGGCACGCCTCATCCCACTATGCCCTGTGATAGGTCATCAAGGTTAACCACTCTTTGCTCGCCATACGTCATAAACCCACCAAGCGGTCACGTCAGTTCATTTTAAAGTGGAGGGAGACCATTTTACCGATTGTAAGCCTTAACATGGGTCACCATAGATTCTTCCCTGGGTTCGTCATTTAAGATTCCGGTTCGCCTAAGATCCCGCTTTTCCTTGCTCCCGAGCACCAGGATCTTAGGCGGAGACTACTGTACCTGGTAATTATAAACAAGATGTAATCTCAATTTCAGGGAGTATAATTCTGAAGTTGTCACCAAAACAAGAGATAAAGAAAGAACAAAGTATATATGTAATTGAAGGTGTGTACACCACTAGCTCAAGCGAAATATCTCTTCTTGAATGAATTATTCATCTTAGGATTTAGCCCCAAATTGTTGACTTTACATCAGGTTAACACTCAAGTGGTTGACTGTATCAGAAAGATTTATAATTACTTAAACAAAGAAGGTAAGAAACGGGACTACAGTGAGGTGTTGACTGTAAGCAAGAGTTGACTTTAAAAGCAAGTTGACTTTATCAGGATTCCTTCCACTGTATCTCTGTTATAACTGATCATTTATGCTAAATTTTTAAAAAAGTGAAATTAGTTATCATCAACAAAAGCAGAGTTCATCATATGTCAAAAATATTTTTTTACCTCACAAAAGTGTAATATTACATTAGTTCAAGGACCCCCCCCTCCCAGGCGTAAGATTATATTTGAATGGCCCCTTATTTTGAGATGCTGATTCCAAATATGAAATCAGTTTTTACATGTAATGATTTAAAGTATAAAAAAAATTTTGAGCCTGAGTTTAAATTAATCCTGCGCGGCGGCAAATTTCAAAGTGATTCTATGTTACAGCGCATTTCCCCAAAATCTGACCGTGAATGCACGGAAAACATCGAGGGGCGCTGGATTTCTTGACCGAGCCTCCAACCATCGTCCAAACTTTGTACTGAGTATTCTCAGAGGGTCTGCTGGGGTAATAATAGTTGTAAAGCGCATAGAGCATGCTCTTGAGCATGGATATGCGCTATATAAATGCAATTATTATTATTATTATTATTATTACAATTTTGTGGTCCATTTTATGTACTATATTTATCGTTACGTGTAACCGGGGCTTTACAGCTGTAGATAATAATAATGAAGATCATTTCTATAGCGCCCACTCCCGTGTAAACACAGCTTTAGGCGTTTTACATAAATGCATGTATGAACAATATTCTCGCACGCGACACACATATGCACACACACACACACTCATACACACACACACAAACACACGCACACATACACACACACACACACACACTCACGCACACATGTACACCAAACACACACACACATGTGCACACACACACACACACACACACACACACACACACACACACACACACACACACACACACACACACATCTACTTGCTTTATCACATGCTCATGCTTACACATCATCACGAAATGAGCACATATATAATAAAATAATATACACAATGCAATTCACAAAATACATAAATGGCAGGATACATAGTCATTTACATTTAACATTGTACTGTTCATGAATCCACTGACATAAAAATGATGTCATTAAATGTGTCTGGATGAGATCACTAAGATATGAGGGAGCTTTGTTATTGACACATCTAATTAAGTACTAGATTCTAGTGTAGCTGAGTTCCCAAGATTCGAAGAGTAATTAGGCCTCTCAGAGTAAGACCCACAAAAAAAAAAGTTTGGAAAACCTTATATGACTGTGACGACTGACAGGGATTTAATGTCAGTAATGGTAGTCAAGTCAGTCAAGACCAAGGTTCAAAACTAGCTGACTTAAAGTTTGAAAAAGGCCTCAAAAGCATAAATTATTGTCACAATGGTAGATGGAACACTGCTTTAATGATGAATCAGCTGGTAGTACTAGTATCATTTATCATCAACCGGTACCTGTACACATGTTTGTTTTGTCAGAGAGGTGAAAGTAAATTAGATCTAAGACTGATTACTTTTAATTTAAAATCTATAGTTAATTCCTTGAAAGATTTTCTAATCTGATTAAATTGCTATTAGTCTAGAATGTAGATTTCTAGATCCAGAATCCAGGCCTATCCATATTATACAGTCGAACCTGCCTTTACGGAAACCTGTATAAAACGGAAACATGTCTTAAAGGAATCTCCCTGCTCCCCCTCTTGTGATATATTCCTCTTTAATTACCTGTATAAAACGGAAACAAGTCCAATGTGGAAACGGAAAGAAAAATCCGCTCCCTTCCGAGGGTTTCACCTGTCTAAGACGGAAAATGCTTTTCCCTGATTTTAAACAAAACTCGCAAGTTTGGTTCCGTCAGCTCTAAACTTAATGCTATGGCCATGCCGCTGGGCGAGGAAGGAGAGTACGGGTGCAATTTGGGGGTAGATGTTACCCCATCATGTGAGCCCTGAGCAATGCAGATGGACAGTGTAGTGTGGGTGTGAAATCTCACGACTGCCCGTGAGAGTGCTCGAGTAGCCAGCCACCACGGACACTTTCCTGGGTAGCCAGAAGCCATCTACTAGGTGGGAAATTAGATTGACCAATGCCTACCACCCTGATCATACGGCCTGCAGAGAAAAGAGTTCCTTGACTCAAACTGTTACAATGATGGCAGTGAGGGCTGGCATTGGTGGGTGGGGCTAAGGGTGGAAGCAAAGGGGATGTTCAAACGTTTCTGTTTTTTAATAGGTCAAACAGTGGTCCTATGAAAGGCGAACACTGGTGGTAATTGGATAAGACTGACGCAATTCATTTTCAGACAGGATAGCAGTTGAGAGGTGTTAGGTTTTGATCCCCTTAAATTCCCCTGTCTAAGACGGAATTTTTTTCTGGCTCCCTTGCAATTCCGTCTTACACAGGTTCGACTGTATATAAAAAATTGTTGCGAAAAATTATTTTAAGTCAAAATTTTAGAACTAGTACTGTATCACTTCTGCAAATTAACTAGAGCTAGAAAATTAGTACTGTTTGATTTATACCTCTGGAATACATGGAGGTGTCGCCTCTCGAGATCTGACTCAGACTCAGAGGTTGGCGTGTATGACGTGTTCGTCCTTCACAGTTGCGAGCTGCTGTTCACATCCTGCTATACCTAGGCCAGTTCATGTTTTAATTTTGTCCATCCATGTTACTCTCTATCTTCCCGTGGCTCTCCTGTCCCACATTTATCCTACCTTCAAGCACCTCTTTCACAATGGTCTGGTGTCGTTTTAAGTGACCAAAGTATTGTATTTTTCTACATTTTATTTTGTAAGCAGGGTTTGTCTAGTGTAGAGAATCTGACATGATACCTCAATGTTCATCTGTTGATTTAGTACGGTGGGTGTCGTATTCAACGAGGTTGTCGGGACCGGCTTGTTGTCCTCGTTGGATCTGACCTCTCGTTGAATGTGACTTAGGCTAAAGTAAAGAAAGGAGACACGTTATTATATTACACGATGTACCAATACCAGTAATTAAAACAGTTGTTCCCCCTGATGACGAAAGTCTCAAACAGCATCAGTGTGTGCATGTTTGAGCTGTGTTCTGACCGTCATTTATGTATTTTTAAATATATTTTTTTCCAGAACACTTCATCGTGTAGAAACACCCTCTCACATCTAGTCTAGGCCTAGATATCTATATAAAGTAATGGCGGGAGCTTGGATTTTTTATTAGGGGAAGAAAGGAAAATTGAAAAAAATGGTGTCGGCCTACCCATCTAGTTTTACACAGCCCACATCGCGTTCCCACCCATCTCCTCCCATCCCTACCGTAGGCTAACCCTCACCCATCCTCTTAGCTTTGAGGCCCATATTAGGAGGCACACTAGATCTAGCAATACAGTGTGTTAGGAATGGAGAGTGGGCCTTGTGCTTTGTGTGAGATGGAGAGAAAGGAGAAAAATTCTTAGTTTTTGGGGCAGCTAATTGCTTTTATTAGGTTATCGCGACCTCGTTGAAAGCGACTTCGGTCTGTTTGCAACCTCATTGGAGCCGACGTACATTTACGAAGAGATATAGAGGGAAAAATCGGGGATTAAGGATTGCCTCATTGGAGCTGACTTCTCATTGAATGCGACACCCACTGTACTGTTTTATACTTTATTGTGTTATCTTGTTGTTCATTTCGTAACCTGTTTTTTTTTTCCCCTTACTGTGACAGAAATGTCTGAGTCTGATGATTTTCTGCTGCGTGGAAAGTGTCCAGATCATTACAGAGCACGGTGTGGTATTGCTCCCCAATGCAATGGACCATCACCACCCCCAATGATGGCCTCCCAGCACATGGTCACCCACAGACCTGTCGGAGCACAGATCCCTGTCGGAGCACAGATCCCTGTCGGAGCACAGATCCCTGTGAGAATGACTTTTCCTCACATGATGTCTGGCGTTCCTCCCCCAGCCCCTCCATTTCCTGTCCGAAGCCCAGTGCCAATGTCGCACCCTGCTGCTTTTCCTATGCCTCAGCCAGGTGCCATAGTTACATCTGAGGTCAGTTGCTTGTCTGTTGATATTGACTGCTGCTGAGACTGAGTAGTTTGCAACATATTACTTACATTATATTATGAAAATTGATGGTAGGTGTGAAAAAAGAAACATCTTCTTTCTGTTGGAAAAAAATATTATACAATAATCTCAGCATAAGGTCCCTGTGCTTGGGAACAAGGAAAATGTGGAACCTTTGGTGAATGGGATCTTAACCGATTAATCAGGGATAAAATCCACGGTGACTCATGGTCAGATTACTGCCATAGTCAGTAAAATGATATCCCCTTTCTATTAAATTAACATATCCCTGTGTTGGGTTTATGACTTATGGTGAGCGAAGAGTGAATAACTTGATGTCCAATCACAATGGCAGGAGGCTTTCTATTTGATTTCCACTTACTGCTAGCCCCGTGATTCAACCGCCTAAGTGACAAAGTTTAGAAAATCACTTTTGAGCCCTTTATGTGGTACAGCCTATGGTACGCCTTATGTTAAAACCCTGAGTTTGAAAGATTACTGCAAAGTGTTTCAATCGTTCAGTAAATCAATTGCCTATATCACACCAGTCCCCAATTTCCCGTGATTCAACCACCCAAGTGCCAGTTTTGCAGCCCAGTGGCGAATGGGCATTTGAATCACGCAGATTCAGTGGCTTGTTGAGGTGTTCACCTGTCACGTAGCTGGCGTGACCCATACGACTGTGGCCTTTGTCAAAACAGACTGGCAGGTAACATCAAAACAAAGGGCTGCCTTTGCTAACTTAGCCTCAAATCGAACCCTTTTGATAGCCAGAAGATTTTGTGAAGGCAGTTTGCGTAATCTATCACTAGTTTTGGTAGTGTAGTTGAGAAAGGGCAAGATGGCATCAAAGAATATATGTTAATACTAACTCGACCAAGTCGATAAATTGTTTCGATAGCTACTGATGAATGAATTCTTTAAAAAGTTTATGATTGACAGCTAAAGGGCGCTTATTTCACATTCGGTACAACTATTGAGAGATATTTTTATTGCGACTTTTCGCGTTTCTGAACCGTATCGGTATGTCATGTTTTACTATCGTAACCGTACGATGTGGGGAACTCTGTACCATCACTTCCAAAGAGGAAATTTACTCGTTAATCTGATCCATACGCTTTGCATAGCAGTCTGTCAAAATGATTTTTTGAGAAACACTGAAAGTTTCAAAGAGATCTTTGTACTTGAAGTAGAAGTATTCTAAAAAGTGAAGAATACAACCCCAGGGGTACAAAATGACCCTAGGGCGTACGCATAGGGTTAATTTACTTTAAGTGTGCCCCCCTTGATGTTTCTGTCATACCATTCTTGAATCATTGATTAGATAATCAGTGCCGGTGGATAATACTTAATTTGTCACTTGAAAAAAAAAAGCAACTCATTAACATATTCACCCCGAAAATTTTCTCTTCATTAAACCTTCTACTTCAACTCTCCAGCTCTACACTTCAATTTGAAACAAATCTCATACATTCTACCTGTATGAAAAACAATGAATTTGTGTACAACTGCCCTCACACAGCAGTTATTCATGACTGTTGCAAAGACAGTTTACATGACTTGGAAATGGGAGCTCCACGATTGTCAAATTACCAGAGAGCAGAAGAGGACAAGCAATTTGGGGATAAGTAATTCTTTGACAAACTTGACGAAATTGCTTTCCCATTACTGCAGACAGAATACGGGCAAAATTTATCTTAACTATCACTTTCAAAGCCTCAGAGCCGTTTATAGAGAGTACCAAAGAAAACAGAAAGAGTTACACGTCCCAGAAGACTTTAGAGAGATATTAAAAAAGAGTAACCTGTTGTTGTTTGTGTCGGAAGGATCAATGTGATGTATGCAAGTTCTAACATGAAACATGCACAAAACCCAGTCGATGAGACCGTATTATGTCAAGTGTGCATGGACTTGGAAGCGGATGTGTTAGTATGGTGTTGAACGCATCTGTTGCACTGTATCTTAACGGCCAAATTAGCTGTCTATAAATTTTTTTAATATGGTAAATGAAGATGTGAAGTGTCACGTTTTGCACGAAGAAGGACCATTGATTGCCAATGAATTTTTCTTCTAGTGTTTGTAACTTCCTGGAGGAGCCTACTGACAATAAATATGCCACATTCATTATATACAATGATGGCTGTACTTATCAGACCACAACGCTATCTTGCCAAATGCAATCAACGACATTTGTACCAGATAGGACAAAAATTTTAACACAAATACCTTGAAAAATTAGAAAAAGAACAAACGCAAATAGAAGTGGATAGCAAACACAGTGTAATTGAAAGGTTCCTTAAAAAATGGTATGGTCCTGTGCTCATGGATAAATAAGAATGCCCCCCCCCCCCCCATCCCTTTTGATGATGGTTTCTGGACCATTCAGACCTGGCTGAAACAAAAACGACTCCATTTTCACAAATGCTCATTGCTTTTGATACACACTGAAGACAAAGGTCCAGTACACACTGAACGTTAAGATGAATAGTCTTTTTTACCGACTCCGTGAGGCCAAAAACAGTCCTGCCCCAGAAGACCCAACCAAATAACTGCAATAATTACTCTTAACTTTATAATTACTCTGAAAACTATTATGGTTTGCTTTTGTCGATAACTCAAACGCCCAAGCGACCATTAGAGCTCGTTGAGTGGCATTGATTAACGTGATTTAAATGCCTAGACGTACTTTCACTTAGGCGGTTGAATCACGCTGATTTTGGTAGGTCTAAACCGCCTATGTCCAGTAACTTATATAAGAAAGCTTTATTTCTTTAAAGTTAGTTACAAACCATCATTCTACATCATATAATGTCATATATCTGAAATTCAGATTCGTAGGTACGAGCATATAGACATAAAACAGATTTTTGCTTCTCCTGAAAAATATGTCTCTGGGCACTTTGGAGGTTGAATCACACGTCTAGCGTTATCCTTTCTAATTGTGAGTAAGATCTATGTTGGTTCCATTGCTCTTCCCCTTTACCTGTTCAAAATTTTTTTAAGCTTTCCCATCTCTGACTGAGTTCCCTGCCCCTGTAACGTAATACTGCACCTTGGCTACATGCATGGATTTGTGGCCTCTGGGAAATGTAAACACCCTGATGTGTTTGCTCTGACATAATTTGGGAATTGCTTGACTAACTATGAATATTATTCATGTTGGTGAAAATCTAATCTTTTTGCTCTCTGTAGGTTGTTGGTGAGTGTTCTAGTGTGTTTTGGTCCTTTTTTTCCATCAAACGGTTATCATTTTGATCTCTCTTCTATCTTTTTTTTTTGTTACTCTCTTGGAATACCTCAAATTTTGGCACTTATATATTTTATATGACCTTAACTGTGTTGCAAGTGCTATAAAAATTTTACTAAAAAAAGGAGCATCTTCCATTCATGATCAGTGACAGTATCTTGCTACAACTCTCTCTCTCGCTCTTTGCAGAGGTTGTGCTCTGGTCCTTCAGACCAGGCATTGCGGGCAAGGAGGCAACCGTCTATGACGTCCTTATTACGTGTTCAGGAAACAGGTAAGAAAAAAAATGTGCTTTTAATTTTAAGGTAGTAATCGCTGTTGTGGATTCCAGTCTGATAATCAAGCTTAATCACTTTTCAATTTTTTTATGTGGGCTATTAGCTATAGTTGTTAGTAAAGATAATGATCCTTGAAATCTGTAGTTTCATGGTCTATGAATAGTTTTCCTTTTTTTACTTTGTTCTTCCATTCGAAATCAGTCTTCTACCTGAAACTCTTTAGCAGATATGAGAAACTGGAACCCTTGTCAAGTACGTTAAAATTTCGGATTCTACTGTCTTTTTGTTCATCCAATATAAATGACTTACGAATTTATGTTTTACTTTCAGTTGAGCGCAGCTTCTGTGTTTCTTTGGGAATCTCCCATAACCGTTGCTGTTGATTTTTCAATATTGTGTTTTCAAAATTGCTCTTATTTGGATTTTAAGTACAGCGACCATTCTGGGGTACAAATGGAAAGTTAAGGATTACTTTTAAAAAATATGCACATCTGCTCAGTATTACCTTCCCTCATAGCCCCCTTGAGTTGGTCCTCACACATTGGTATTCTATATTGTTTACAAAACTCGTTCCTTTGCTTCTTGGCCCTAGTTCGGTGCCAGGTTCTAGCAAACCTGATTGATGGTGTGGGATTTTGATAGAATGGAATTTTTCTCCATGTATTTCCCAGCTCTGAAAAATAAAACCAGTATAGGGATTCAGCCCTCTAAACTTCTTAGATAGGATCATACTAAGAGGTCCTGTGTGTGTAAGTTGCACTTCTCAAAAAAGAACTGCCCGATGATTTTGCTTCCATCCAGCTGTCTGCTGTCTGTTATAAAATTGAATTACTTTGATCTCAGTCTTGTTTTTGCAATACTACTATGGATTTATACTGTGGACACCATGTCTTTTTTAACAGCCATTTTGGAAGGAGTTTTCTGAGAATGTAACTTTAATTATAATTGTTTGAGTAATTCATTATTAGGCCAGGGCAAGATCGACGGCAAAAAGACTCGAGGCCTCGATTCCAAAACTGAAAAAGAATCGAGGAATCGAGTCCGATTTTCTAGTTTGGAAGCTGCTAGCTGTTTAGAGAGGCCATGACTTGAACACTGCTAAAAATAGCTCTTAAGATCGAGACCTCGAGTCTTGAACACTGCTAAAAATAGCTCTTAAGATCGAGACCTCGAGTCTTGAACACTGCTAAAAATAGCTCTTAAGATCGAGACCTCGAGTCTT